CCTCCTCCAGGTCGAGAGCCTCCAGAGCGTAAAGGGCTTGGCGAGGGCCGGAGGAGCTGACCAAGGAGGCGGGTTGGCGGAGGCAGGGAGAGGCAATGCCAGAACCGGTATCCCCGAAGCGAAGGAATTTTCCTCGACGTCTCGGGGAAGGAGGAAGAAAACCCAGGCGAATGGGAGAGTGAAAGATAAAGAAGGCAAAGGGATGAGGCGGAAAGGGGAGGACGTCGACAAGTGCAAGGCTATGTACGGGAATCCCAACGGCCATTTCTTCAAGGACGAGGTCGTGACCCTTAATTGGGTGAGTGAGGGTTGTTGTGGTTCTTATGAAGCTGTCGTTTAGGCGATGATTTGACGGCTTGTGTTGTTAAAGGCTGGCATCCATCTCACTCCCGTAAATGTTTGCTTATTTGTTGGCATTATCTAAAAATTAATGTTTTCTGTCTACTGTATTCACGAATGATTCGTAGAGTATTGATTTTTTTAGTAAAAAAAAATTATCATAATTGATTATTATCATGATCCCTTTATCTATTATCTACTCTTTTGTACACAACCTTATACAATTCATTTGCACGCAAACCTAAAATATTATAGTTATAAAAGCATTGCAAACATTACTTTCTACAATTATAAAATTTATAAAATATATGACATTGCAATCATTGCAAACGTTACTTTCCACAATTATAACAATCATTACTTTACAAAACGTAAAATAAATAAATAAATAAATAAATAAATGAAAAAATATCATTTTTCTCCCTGCGGGTAAAACCACAACACTTTTCCTGATCGCTTTTGCAGTCAACTTATGACACTTGCCTCTCCCTCCAGACGGAGGCGCGATCGCAGGCCCGACGGGAACTTCTACAGCAACGTGCGAAGGTCCTGCTCGACGCCTGTGCCAAGGTGGACGACACGGAGGGCGCTCTGAAGCCTCCCTTGAGTGTCGTATATCAGAGTAACCTCTGGCTGAAGGATCATGACTTAGTCTACTGTCCGATTAACAAAGTAGGCGCTGGATTCGTGTTCTTTTCGTGCCATGGTTTGTTCTCGCGTGGATGGCATTGATGTTTTTAAAATGTTCCTTTTTTTTTTCTTTATTCATCTTTGTGTTGTCTGCGCTTTTGGGTGATCTTATTTCCGTGCTTTGACGTGGGGGTTATGAATTGTTATTTAGCTATATCGGTTATTGCGTATCTAATTCTTACATTACCTGTACTATTATATTCCATACGCGTTACATGTTGCAGGTAGGATCTACAACCTGGATCACCAGCCTCCTGCAGATGGCGGGCAAGGACACGCACCACGGGCGAGGACTCGTCAGGAAGATCTACAGCATGCCCTTGAGTATTCGAGATCGCAACTCTTTCCTGAAGAAGGCCTTGCGCATGATCATCGTAAGAAACCCGCTGGACCGCCTCCTGTCAGGTTACCGGTGGGTTATCGAGTGCTTGCTTATATAAAATAATAATAATAATAATAATATTAATCATAATCATAACAATTGTGATGACACTGATATTAATAATAATGATGATGATACTGCTACTACTACTACTATTACTACTACTGCCACTACTGTATATATATATCATATTATCTTATATTATATTTATAACGAATAAGTTTTTTTGTCTCTTTTCTTTCTTGAGTTTCTTCTTTTCCTTCATACTCTTTTTTTCTCATTTTTCTTATGTTTTTTCTCTTTTTTTCTTCTTTTTCTTTGAATGGGGTGCGGGGAGGTGGAGGGGGAGGGAGAGGGGAAAGACATTAGTTGCGTTGCTTGTGATTTACGCGGTTGATATTCTGTGTGCCATGTCTTTATGGATAAATATATATTTCTCCCTCTTTCTCTCCCTCCCATCTTCCTTCCACCCCCCCCCCCCCTCTCTCTCTCTTACCCGTCACCTTCACTAACTCTCCACTCAGCATCTCAAGCATCTACATAAACCCAATCTAACACAAATTACAAAACAATCTTCCCCTTCACCCAGAGACAAGATGCTGCACCTCATCTGCAAGGAGAATCAGTTCTCGGTGATGCAGAAGCTGATCTCCACCAAGTACAGCGACCCTGCCACGCCCCCTGACCCCTCTGGCAGACCCTCCTTCAGGCAGTTCCTGTTGTTCATAAGGGAAGAGATGGAGATGTTCTGGTGAGCTTTCTTTTCACGTCGTTGATTATCCTCGTTAGTAGATTATAAGGTATTTCATCGCTTACAGAATGGATCCTAAGTAAATCAAAAGGTATTTGACCGCTTATAAAGAGGATTCTAGGTAAAGTATAAGGTATTTGATTGCTTATAGAATGTCAGAGCCTATAGATTCGATGCGCAGTATGAAGAATCAAATTAATTAATGTGGAAAACATTGATATTTGAGAGAAACGTGTCAGATGAAATTTTTTCTCTTTCTGTTTCAAGAAATAATAATGGCAATAATGATATATAAAAAATGGTTAAACAACTGTGAAATGAATCAATGGGCTCGTTTT